CTGCATCGGTGTGTTGAGCTCCCCAAGTCCTGCAAAGATAATAGAGGCTGGCAAGGCACTGCCTCCGCTGCCGGTACTGCTGAGGGAGATAATCACTCGTTGGAGGAGCGCTGCATTTGTTGAGCCTTGTAATGAGATGCCTCTACCGCTGGGAACGGCAATTGACACTGGGTTCGCAGTGGTTGCTGGAGGGGGACCCACGCCTGTAAAATTATATAGATGATTAACAAGTGCGACGTCTGGCAAGGATAAAGAGTGGGCGAACATCCAAGCGTTGAAGCTGGACTCCCAGACGAGGACGGACTCGCAGTGACGAATGTCGTACTGGAAGTAGTAGTAGTGGACCCTGAGATTGTAGAGATACCTGTAACATTTCATGGTAGTAAAAACATCGATGACCTCAGACGGGCATAATTCAAACCTGAGACCGTAGAGGTACCTGTAGATATTCATAGATAAAGAGGTGATCGCGGATGCCCGTGGTCGGAATACATACCTAGGGTTGTCGTAGTAGATGCGGCGAGCCCACGTTCCTGCTGGATATCGCGTACTCCCATTTTGGCTAGAACACTTGACGACGAGATCAGTGAAAGGAGGACGAAGAGATAGTTCATGATGCTGTTTTGAACGGCAAAGGAGGGATCGATGGCGCACTTCCGTAGATGCTCAATAGCAGGCCGTATGAGTTATTCTGTGGCTCACCTACATCTGCAGAATTTTGTTTAGCCTGGAATTCCGAACAGAATAGCCACCCCGAAGGCCACTCAGTTGCCATCTAAAACCAACTTCATCAGGAGATACATGATTGACATAGTGTCGAGCATGAGAAACTTCGGCAAGCACATGTCGGTTCAGCTGATGTGCTTGTTCGAGTATGCTCAAATTAACTGAGCGAGAATGACCGCTTGGGCTAACTGCAGGTCGAAGGCTTGAATGAAGAGGTAAGTTATAATAAGCAAAGACACAACGCAACAATGCGTCAACTCCGTTACTTATCCCTGTCCTACTTACTTATCCATTCTTCTAACGTCAATTGCTGTGGGTTGCTTGGGAGTGGTGCCTGAACCTGCCCGAACTTGTTAGTACCCTTGTCGGCAAAGTCGATATGCCTTTTCGCTACTTCGGCTGTTCCAGGGCTGTTCGGAACGGATGCATTCCAATTTTGAATAGCAGTAGGCTTCGATTTGTCTCTGACATAAGTATCTTGCTGCAGGCATGTTCATCATTCACGTCGACACTTCCATGGGTATTGAAGTCATGTTGTAGGAGTACGCAGTAAGTCTCAAACGAACACGATGAGTGCAAACGACTCTTATTATATACCTGTAGGAGTACGCAGTAAGTCTACAGGTATTCCGATGTAAGTAAGTGAAAAATAAAGTAGGTAAGTAGGAGTACTGACCTCAGACAACACGATGAAGCGAACGGCTGAGGGACAGTACTCCGCGCGACAAAGAAAATGCTCATCGCATGGCGAGTTAGACCGGTAACCGTTCAGAGAATGAGGAGGAGGAGGATGGAAAGTCCTCGATTCTCCGAGGATTTAATACGAGGGTAAAAGAAAAATAAATAAATTCCATCGTGCGCGCGCGTGATGCGCGCGCACTCCTCAGGTCATCCGTAGCTTCCTCAACCCATGTGTGTAAAAAAAGCAATCGGTATATTCAGCAAATATCCAGCGCCAGAGTAAACACCCCCGAGCAAGGTCAAAACTTTTCCTTTTCCTTTTCCTTTCTTGTTGTCCAGTCCATTCGTTCAATATCAGTGTATCTTCAACATCATGCGCTCAAAGACGACACTATCAATTTCATTGACCAGCATTGCTTTTGGCCAGACGGTTCGTGATGGGGAATCCCACCTGAATAACCCGAGTTAGAAAAGACAAGAGACGCGCGTCAAAGACTCTTATCGGAACCTTCTGGCATCAAAGACCAATTCCCATCGTGCCAGCAGGCATTGGGTAAGGGCAGGGCTGTCGGAAAAACGGTGGTTTGGTGATTGGTCTTGAGACCGCTAACTCAACTGATGCATGATCATTGGTTTGCTTGGAGTGGGGCATTTGACATTATATCAACACACCACAAACCGTGATAGCCGGGTGGCATCTATCAGCTACATGGCACAAGCTGATATTGTGCAGTCAGCTTGTATCCACCTTCCTTGACACCAAGTCCGCTCATGTAAGTCATTGTGATTCTCCAACTTTCTCATCCTCATGCTTGCTCAAGGAGAGCACAGTTCACCTCAGCTGCACCTCAGTCCACATGAACTTAACACAAACTTAACATAGACTTGTATGTCTTTGTCTATGACGTTTACCTCAGAAAAAGTCCATGGAGCAACTGGTGGAGTGTTGGTGGGGCGGCCCCACAGTTTGAAGTACTTAAGGGCAGCAGGAGCTGCCACACAACGAAAGCATCTTTGCCTCAACTTCTATTTACTCTTGCCTTGGGGAACCCCCGACACAACCTTAACACTAATTCTGACTAAGAGAATGCTAATTTCATTCTCATGTAGGCTGGATACTCAACATTAGAAGAGGTGGTACATATGTTTGACAGTACTTATGTACTAAGGCCATACATTTTTATTACCTCAAGATCGACTGTACTTACTTCTGTACTTGCTTGACCTTGCATCCAAATATATTTGTTTGTTGCTTTATTTGCTGTATCGGAAAATTAGAGATGAGATTATAATGATATCAAGCATGAGAAATGGTGTGCCCGATCAACACCAATATGGCTGATCAAGACCAGTCAGGTCGGCAGTCAGTAATCCTGCTGACGCTTAACTGATCACACTTATTAAACATCTTCGCGACTGGTAAAGGACCTCTTCAGTTGACCAGCTTATGCCCAGGTATTTGCTCCTGTCAGCCAGCATTGGTTTTTTGTGGTTTTTCCGACAGCAGAACCTGCGTTGTTTCTATTTTGTTTTTCTCGGAGACGAGAGACTAGTCATCGTTATCGAATTCATTGTGGTTGACGCTTGCTAAGATGGTTGCTCTTACTCTACAACTCAAACTCAACTGGCGCTTTTTTGGGTGAGTTTGGCTTTTGTCGTGTCCAAGACCCGTTCTATAGATTTCCCTCGAATCATCTCAGCCAGAAACACTGCTAGGTTGACGCGCCCCAAAACCGAGCCCGCAACATGACATCGAAAAATGTGCATTGAAAGGTAAAAGTAACGTACAGTGTATACAACAGACATCTTACAGTATTACAGTGCCGACCATATTCATCTCAGGACTACTCCTCGACATTCACGAGGGCATCCGAAGATGTTTAATGCTTCTTCTCTGCACCTATGCCAGTCAGGTTCCGGATGGTATCAGCAATCGAGTTGTCCTTCGCTTGTTCGAGGGCAGATTCGGAGTGTTGCGGTCCCTCTTTGAGGACATGCTCTTGGAACATGTCGATGGCTAGATTAACGAACTTCAATCAATGTCAGGTTCAAGACCGGAAAACAGGATGACACACCTTTGTCTAGTTTACCTACGAAAGCGCAGAAAGAGAACAAAAGTCAACGGCCATTCATGCCAACGCCAGAATGATTTCGATATGCTCACCTTCCTCCGCCTCCCCTTTCGCCCCCCCTCCAAGTGCATGGTTGAGTTTGTCCGCCAACCCATGAGGCTTTGCTGCCGGTTCGTCCTTCTTCCCTGAAATCACATCACCGAGCTTGCCCAACAAACCCTCATCCTTCTTGGCCGCCGGGGGCGGGGTCTTCCTCCCACCGAGTGCGTCACCAATCTTGTCAAAGAGGCCTTCTTCTTTCTTAGGCTGCGCGACAGGGGGAGGGGGTGGTGTCTTGTGTCCGCCGAGCACGTCCCCGATTTTACCGAACAAGCCGTCGTCTTTCTTCGGCTGGGGTACGGCTACAGGGGGTTGAGGTGGGGTGTTGTGGGCACCATGGCTGCCGATGACATCTCCGATTTTCCCGAGGAACGATGCTTGGTGAGCAGCGGTGGGTGGAGGTGTGGGCGCGTGAGTTTGGGAGGTAACATGCGAGGGGACGGCGGATTTGTGATCGCCGCTTAGGGCATCGGTGAGTTTGTCGAAGATGCTTCCATCGTGCTTTGGTGCCGCGGCGGCGGGGTGAGGAGCGCTGTGGTGCTCCTCTGATTTCTTGTCGCTGATGTTGAGGTTCTTCAAGAAATCCATTCGTGCAGTGCTTGAGATTGATGATGGATGAGGGTGGCGGTGAAGTTGAGGGGCTAATTAGTGCGCGCTATATGTACAGAAAGTATGGTCTTGGCACTCTATGTGGACAAAGACATCACGGACGATCAATCGGATTGGATTCATTGGATAGGACGGCCTTTGGATGGATGGAATCGAATCGATTGTGATAGCGAGCTCGATTCGGCTTTATTGACGCGCCCCTAGAACGTTGTTTTCGTGCCTTTCTTATAAGCTTCATCCTTTGCTTTCTGCCTTTGAGCTTACTTATATGAACTGCTGCGGTGTGCGCACTACACGCGTTCGAGCCGTCTTTTATCGTTCCAATCACAAATTGAAATAGCTCGGAATCAGCGATCACATTAGTCGCTGTTATCTACAACCACCTGGCCAGGAATCATTTTCCGTCTTCACGCAATTATCTTGGTCAGTAGGATGGCATTTCGAAAGAATAACGCACACTTCGCCACTCCGCCCATATAGATCCTGCGATTGTCCTGCGTCTATATCTGTTTTTTGAGCCATTTCTCTTGCACTTTCGCAGCATGTGTTTGGGTGGGTTGGAATTGAATACAGGAGACCAACAAATCATTCGCTCAGTCATCGCCATCATTTTGGGTACCTTCGTTTTGGATCCGATAGTTTTTGGCTAACGAACGCGCATTGCGATGCAGCGACGAAATGCCTAGTTCGCAGGTGATCTGCGAGGTAATCGAATGTATTACGAGCTGGTGACACGAGCTTGACAAAAATGAGCTCCGCACCTGAAAGCGACAATCACCTTGACACACCTGTATAATTATATTTTAAAAAGGAAACCGTCGATGGGACTCGAACCCACAACCTTTGCCTGAAGGTTTACACTTCAAATAGGAAAGCAACGCACGACCATTGTGCTACGAAGGCTTATCGCCTGGTAATAAAATGTTACTTCCTGAGGATTTGTGGCCGACAAATGAGGAACATGGTTAGTGAAATTCATATTGGAGATGCGCCAAAGATGCGCAAGACCTTCAGCTCAGATACGAAATTTGACCCTGATGTCGAAGCACAATGACTTGTGTTTTGGAGTCTATAACAATGAAGTCTCAGTGTCTGTCAAGGATGACGATGAACAACTGTATATTATACCTATAACAATGAAGTCTAGTTATAGGGAGTGACGAATGAGTTAATGTAGACGGCAAAAGTATAGTATAAAGTATCATACCTCAGTTCCTGTCAAGGATGACGATGAACAACCGAGGAAAGGGGGAAACACAAGAAGAGAGAGTCTATATAGTATGACAAAACAAACAATACGCAAATAGAAAAGGTGGCGCAACGCGACGCGACGAGAAAGAACATGTGACCATACAACGCCAAGATTGCACACCATTCTATCTTCCAGAAAATATCCCTACTCCCTGGATGAACAATGGACATTTCATGCTTATTGCCGGACTTTGCCACCTACCAAGACCTTTGAACGTCAGACTAGCATTTCAGACGGACCCACTGTTAAAGTCACAACATTTTGAACAATTGGCATGTGCCCTGCTCTGTCCTGTTAGTCATCGGAGGGATGCGAAAGCCCACTACTTTGTTGATACAATGGATGTCGATATGTTTCTTAGAGAAAACTACCCCACAAATTGATAATTACATCATGATTCTCAGTACATCTCAGCTCAATATCTGACACTGACCTTTTGGGGTTGATAGGTCCTGTGGTAAATGATTCAGATCAAGTCAGTTGTGGCACATAAATGGACCGGAAATTAGTGCCGCTGATGCATGCTGACCACAGTACATCTGTCTGTAAAGTCTAGCTGATATTTATTACGGTCTCTGATTCATTGATATCGGCTCATATGCGCTATAACGAATGCACCTATGCTCTTGCATCAGCTCAGTTAGCGATCTGCCGTTTCTCCGACACACGACTAAGCCCCCCCTCCCGGTCCATGGACAGACAGGCCGCAACATCTTCGTCGCCTCCTTGGCTCAGTTGGCTAGAGCGCAGGTCTCATATCTCGAATATGAGTAGTTCACAACTACGCAATCCTGAGGTCGCAAGTTCGAGCCTTGCAGGGGGCACATCCTTTTCCTTTTTGCGCCACAAGAACATTATTTTGACGAAGCAAGGGCTTATTTAGTTAGGCAAGGCTTGAAGTACTACGAAGCCTCGCAAGACAGTATATTGCATGCTGGATAAGCAAGATATTCCACGAAAGAATGTGACTGTGAAGCGCTGAGGGTCATGAGTAATTGTGAAATCTAGGGTAGCGGCCTGGTAGTGTTCGTACGATGGTGCATTGATGGGCAGGGATGTTGTTGATCAAGAACATGACAAGAACTTAACGTCAGGCATAACAGAAGGTGGGATGACTTATATTTGCGCTGACAAGTATGTAGGTGTTCCTGTCATGATCGTCAGCGCTTGGGTTGTTCTCCCCGTTGTCCAGTGCTCGATAGCATTCCTTCTCTACTTCGTATAACGCTGCGTGTGATACATAAATCGTACACACTCTTTGCGGAGTTAGCCATCAAGGAAAGGCATTTCGGAGAATATGAGCTCACTCGGGGTCATGATGCATCTATACTATTACACATGTTACATATTCACATGCGTCCATCACAATTCATCACCTCCGCGCTTGACCCTTGTCTGAGGAACCTGGATCTCAACATGCAGCACCCCATCTCCAGCTTTCAAAGCATCGACGGCATCATCTCGAGCATGCATCCCTTCGTCTTTGCGGATGCTGTACAGATGAACGTCATTCAATTGCCCCACTGGACCACGGTATGTCAGTGATGGGTGGATAGCCGTTATTGTGGAAGGATTGAAGAAAAACGGCGACTGCGGCGATAGGGTTATAGCGAGGTAAGAGTGGTTGTCGTGATCCATGGCTTGCGGTACGATACAATACGTGGTGGTTGTTCGAGATTAAGGAGTTTGGTGACTCCAATGGGATTCCAACATTGATCATCAGAAGTTCAAAATGCGTGGAGTCCAATTCAGAGTCTTCCGAAGCAGTTGGCCATGCATTCAACGCGGATGATATTGACTATTGTCCTCATGACGCCTTGTGAGGCCTTGCTCAATGAGTAGTTCAGATCTTTTTAATAGCCTTCTATTTTTGATCATCACAACCCGTACAAGACCACTCAAGCGAGCATTTACCAACTGAGTTCGGTGAACCTTGCACAATTGCGCAACCGGCATATCGCAATTGAAATTCAAATCACATCATGTTGATTGAAAGGCCACAAACTGAGTTGTGCTCAGCAAGCGTGGCTTTCGCAAGCGAACACCCAAAAGGGGGCTTTGCGTCTGTGTGATGCAGTAGGCTCTAGCAGGCAGCGCCACACATTTGCAAAGTCCAACCATCAACCCGAACATGATGGCCAACATTCTTCGGCTGCTTCGAAACCTCACAGCTTTCCCAAACGAAACGCGGATCTCATTCTGGGTTCCCCTGTGCGTTGTCATGGAACACATACAACGTTATAGAGTGATTTGCCCTGATTTGCCTGAGCCTGGTGCTTGCAAGTGCTGGCACCTGGCTCACCTGGCCCGGTTTTCTTCTTGTCTGGTGCGAGAAATGGTCACAAATTTGACCACAAAACTGCCGATGTCCTTGGCATTTGCCTATCTTGTGCTAATAATCTCTTGGCGTTTTACATGCCATGTCAGCCAGATGCGACGGACCGAGTCGTAGAACGAATCTGTCCGTGTACTCGCAAGTTTCTACTGATGTTTTGGTGAGAGTCATGGAAGTCTCTCAACAAATTGAAATTGTTATACCTGCGCTGACAATACACTGCACAGCGCCCAGGACGCGACAACCTTGAGATTTTGTTAGGATCATGTCATCCTTGCATAATGTGATATTTGATCACACCGTGTGACACGTAAAGCATCGCCTCTTTTCCTCCGTGATGCGCGCGGTGGAGACTAGCCATCAAACCCAAAATGATGTACAAACAAACCCTGGGAAATTGCCATGAGGTCCTTGGTGGTCGGTATAAAGACAGAACGGATTCATAGTATTTCCCCAAGCCCGGCGCTCTCAAACAATCACAACTGTACGCTGAATACTCCCTTCTTTCCTATTTTCGCCTACTAACATTTCTTTTTTTTTTCGTAGTCTTCGGCAGGTCCTTAGAAATCTTCACTTCCCTAACGAATTCTTTACGAGTCTTCCTCACAACTCCCCACCCACCTTTCAATCATCATCATGCAGCTCACCAACAACCTCGTTGTCCTCGCCTCTGCTCTCGTTCTCGGTGGATCCAGCGTTCTCGCTCTCCCCGTTGGCTCTTCTTTCACTGCTCGCGACATCGAGTATGATCTTGATGCCCGTGACGTTGACGCCGAGATCGTCGCTGCCCGCGAATACTTCGACAGCTACCTTGAGGCACGTGAGATCTACGACAATGAGGTGTACGCCCGTGAATACGACGACATGAGCCTGGAGTCCAGGGAATATCTGGAGTATCTTTTGGAACGTGCTGATGCCATTGCCACCCCCCCTGTGACGCCCGTCGCCGCAGTGCAGGCACCTGCCACCCTTCCTTTGGACGCGAAGACCACCACCACCGGCCTGACGACCCCCACTACGTCTACCAAGACGCCAGCTGAGGTTGCTGCCCACAAAGCAGCCCTTGCCGATGCTACTCACCCCGAGCACGCCAAGGCTCTCGCCGAGCACAAACTCGCTCTCCATGACCCAACCCACCCTGAGCACGCCGCAGCTCTCGCGGCCCACAAAGCCCACCTTGCTGACCCCAAACACCCTCTCCACGCTTCCGCAAAGAAGCACGAAGAGAAGGTCGCTGCCCACAAGGTCGCCCTCGCTGACAAGACCCACCCCGAACACGCTAAGGCTGTGGCTAAGCAGGCACATCTCGATGCGCTCGCTGACCCCAAACACCCCAAGCACGCTCTTGCGAAGGCGAAGGAGGCGAAACACGCTGAACTCCACAAAGCGCTCGCTGACCCTAAGCACAAGCTCCACTTGAAGGCTAAGGCGAAGCACGCCAAGAAGGTCGCTCACAAGGCTGCCCTCGCTGACCCCAAACACCCTCTCCACGCTGCGGCCAAGGCAAAGGAAGCCCACAAAGCTGCCCTCCTCGACAAGACTAACCCTGGTCACGCCGCAGCAAAGGCGAAGGTTGCCGCGAAAGTTGCCCACAAGAAAGCTCTCCTTGACGCAACCAACCCTGGTCACGAGGCGGCATTGAAGAAGGAGGCCGCGAAGCACGCCGCGCACAAGGCTGCTCTCGCTGACCCGTCCAACCCTCTCCACGAGGTGGCTAAGGCCAAAGAGGCTGCTCACAAGGCTGCCCTCGCTGACACCACCCACCCCGATCACGCTCTCGCTCTTGCGAAGGAGAAGGCCAAGACTGTTACGCCCGCCACCGCTTCGACCACCACCCCCACTACCCCCGTTGCTGGTGCCCCCGTCGCCGGAGCTGTTTCTGACAAGACCACTGCTGAGAAGGCCACCACTAAGCAGTCCGCCCAGAAGCTCCGCCGCCGCCGCTACTAGATGCTTCGCGGATTAGTAGTCGTATAGTAGGCTATCGCTTTTCTGAATTTGTATGATGTCGAAGCTGTAGATAGAATCGTAATCCCGTTATCTGTGAACTTGCTGTGAACTTGAGGCTTTATTTCGCTATCGGAACAACCGCAAGTATTTCTCATGGCCTGTATCGCGTTCATTTCAATGGTCGTATATTAGCCGTAAAACGGATGGCGGCCTAAAAGGCTCGACACTGCCCAGATGCTTGACCAAGAGAGATGACAAAAGCGATGCTCCAACACCTGCAGTCAGGGTCACGAACTGACCGAGGTTCATTCTTTTCCTGAACATGGATACACCAGCGACTCATGTTCTTGCATCGCAAGTTGGAGGCCATGCCGGCGTCATGACCACAGAGGACGGATCGCTCCTGATTAAACCCGCCCTGCACCGAGAACTCGAGTTTTATCAGTCTCTACAACGAGATCCTGCGTTAGAAGCCTTGCGCGAATTCACGCCCAAGTTTTTGGGTACGCTCACGTTGCAGGAAGCTCAAGCCTCACCGGACGCTCCTGTCGTTGGTGTTGTGGTCGAACCGATCGCAGCTCAGAAAGATAAGTCGTTTAGATTGATCTATCAAAGGAACGACCTGGTATTGAGGCGTTATCGGGGTTTTTTTACAGTCCATCGTGCTCGAGAACCTCTCATTCCCGTTCCTTAAACCCAATATCCTCGATGTCAAGCTTGGGACTGTGCTGTATGACGAAACTGCTTCGGCAGACAAAGTAGCACGGATGGAGAAGACTGCGCGAGACACGACGTCTTACGAGACAGGCGTTAGGTTGACCGGATTTCAGGTTTGTCCTCAGGCCTTCTTTTGTGCGCGGTGAAGAGACAGGCTCATCCATTCTTAGGTCTACGATAACATCACCTCTCAGCCCGTCAATACGCCCAAAACTTATGGGAAGTCTATCAAAGTGTCCGAACTGGGCGATGGGATTGCAAAGTTTTTCCCCCTCGGTATAACCCCTGTTGAGACAGAAGACGCTGCAACCCCTTCGAGCGGTCTCCCTCGAAAGTTACTCTTACCTATTCTTGAAGCCATCCGTGAAGAGATCGCCGAGATCCGTAAAGTCTACGCGGAGCTGGAGATTCGGATGGTTGGCGGGAGCCTGTTGGTCATCTACGAGGCTGACTGGGACCGTGCAGCAGAAAGCCTGCAACAGTACCTGCAAGAAAAGGGTGAAGATTGTCTCGACGACGACGACGACGATGAAGATGACGATGACGACGATGATAAGAAACCAGGACCGCCTTTCGCTGTCAAACTGATCGATTTCGCCCACACGTCCTTCGTACCAGGTAAAGGCCCGGACGAGGGTGTTTTGCGCGGGATCGACACGGTGCTCAAATTATTGGATGAGCGACTGGAAGCCTTAGGCAGCAATTAACGTATGGATACCCTTCTCGATCAAATCAATGTATGTACGGTGTAAATCTACTGTCGAATTCCCATCTGTCACTGGTTTTACAGCCAATGTTCTCGGGGTTGGAGGTGGAATGATT